GGTTGACTACATGGGTTTACCTCTTCTCTCCCCCACCCCGTCAAATTAAATAAATAAAAGTAGACTAAAATAATTCTTAAAGAAAAAAAAAAAAAAGACTACATAAATAAAAAGAAAATAGCATAATGGTAAAGCTTCTCGACTCCCACAGTCAACTGCAGTTCAACAGTGGATTCAACTCCTGGACCCAGTGGCTTAAAACTCCTGCCAGGGGACCAGCAGTTAGCGTAATGGCTATGTCGCTGGACTCCCATGTAGTCGATCACAGTTCAAGTTCCGGCCCCGGTGGCTTAAACTCATGCTGGGCGCGTGTGTGCGTGCCAAGATCCCGAGAGGAGAATGGATTGCAGCATGACCACCCCACCCCAGGGGGTGATTTCTCGCTTTCTGTCTCTCTCTCTCTCTGTCTGTCTGGCGAACACATGTGCCCTATAGCAAAACAAACAAACAAACAAAAAACTCCTGCCAGGTGCTGCATGTGCCTGCATGCCCAAAATTCCAAGAGGAGGATAGAGTAGAAGGGACTGTGGAGTGGCCATCCCATCCCTGCCCTCCCCCCACTGGGGTGCGTGATTTCTGGCTTTTGCTTTCTGTTTCTCTCTCCCATGGGTGCATGCACCCTATACCAGAAAGAAAAAAAAAAAAAACTCTCTTAAAAATAATTACCATCACAAGTTTCTCATCTAATCTCCTTTTGGTGTCTACTTAATTTTTCTGCTCTTCTCTTTGGGCTCAATGTCCTTTCCCACTTTCCAAGCACTCAAGATTTTACCCTTATCAATCTTGTCAAGTGACTAATAACCTCCAATTTAATTTCAGTCCTCCTTTCACTTGATCAACCACCAGAATCTGTCTCAAAGAGCTTACTCCCTGAAACACCTAAGTAACTTCCAAGTACTATCTTCTTAAGTTTTCCCTTCTTTCACCACTCTCTTGTACGGTCCCTTGTAATCTATTGACCAGTTAATTATGGGAGTGACCTCGCAAGGAGAACCCTTGTGCTTCTTTTCTATCCACATTATACTCACTAGGAAAGTACATTTAGTATCATGGCTTAAACTAGTCTTTTTTATGCTGTATTCTTCCATCAGCTCCAATTTCTGTAAATCAGACTTGTACATCTAACTGCTTACATAACATTTGGATATTCAACACACTTCAAAATGAACACTAATGTCTTCTCTACTAATCCCATACTTCCTACAGCTTTCCACATCTTAGTGTATGGTAACTCATGTTTCACATTTAGAGCAAACAACTTCAGATTACCCTTTGCTCTCTTTTTCCTCATACCCCACCATCTAGTCCAACACCTCTTGCCTGCAATACTCAAGTCTAATTGATCTCACTGGACTCTGCAGTCCATTTTCAATTCTGCAGCCAGAATGATCTTCTAGGAAAGTGTTATCAGATTGAGTCAACCAAAGGTATGTCTAATGGTTAAGGCAGATGGATACCACAAGAATGACCAGTTACAATCCCAGCTTCAGTGACTCGCACAAACACACGTGGACCAACATGTGGAACGGAGTTTAAGGTGGGTGAATCCCACATAGCAAACTGAGGTTTGAATCCTGAACCCAGCAGCTTGATAAACACCCTATGCACATGTGCACTCAAACCCAAAAATCCCAAGAGAATGATGGGAGAGAGAGGACTATAGCATGCCCATGCACCTTAAGGAATGCTTTCACACTTTTTCTTTTTAGAGCTCAGGTGCTCTGTAGCAATTTAAATTTTTAGAAGTGTATCAAATTAATAAAGAGAAGTGTATCAAATCATATTATCCCTGCTGAAATCTCTCATGATACAGAATTAAAGAAAATGTCCTATAATAGCCTATTAGCCCTCCCATATAACAAAGCATAATGCTTGCTTACCTTTTCGATTTAGGAGAAGCCTCCAAACTAGGCCATTTCATTTTCTGTTCCCTAGAAACTCTCCGGTTTCCTTCAAGATTTCTGCTCAGCTAAGGGATTCTCATTCAGGCCTATTTTCTTTTGTGGCCTTCTCTATGCCTCCTACATAGCTTTACCTTTCTCTATCACTAATTACCATAAGATGAACTAAATATTTACAGGTTTTTCTCCACAATATAAACATAAACTCCACAAACGACAAAACCTTTGTTTTATTAACCGCTATATAATGCCTAAAATACTGTCTAGCATAGTGCTACCCAAAAAGAACTTTCTGTAATGAATGGAAATGGTCAATTATCTAGGTTCTCCAATATAATATTCAGTTACTGGGAATGTGGTTACAACATAAGGAACTGAATGTATCAGTTTTTTTTTTTTTTTTTTTTAAATAACTGCCCTGGGTGTATGCACTCACCACGAACTTATTAAGCCAAAGAAAAGCACCCCACAACAGGGCACAGGGCGTGGTCATACAGCAATCCCTTCCTCTCCATTACTGCATCCTGTTAGAACTCTGGGATTGCTAGAATTCAACTCAGTCAGCTATGTGGCCCCCATCTTCCTTAACTATCAGGCTATAAGGCCTGTTCTAATTCTTAATTTTATGCAAGCCACAGGTAACTAATGAGTGACAAAGTAACAACTGCAGGTTTAGCATGAAATAGGCTCTCAAGTAATGCTAAAGGGATACAAAAGTACTACAATAAAATAATTGAAGTGAAAAGGATCTATTAAATATTTGACTTTTTTTTAAAGAGGTTTTTGCCATAGGGCTGGTGCCCTGGAGTAGGGTGGGTGGGTGAGACAAATAGTAAAAGTGAGAAATTACCCTCCCAGGAGGGATGACCATGTCACAATACTTTCTCCTCCTGGGATCTTGGACATGCGCAAACGCAGGCGTACACACACACACCCCAGCATGATTTTCAAGTCAGGAGGTCAGGGATTCGAACCTCAGTCAGCTGCCCAATGACCTATCTACTACACCATCTATTGCCCCCTCATAACATTATTTTTAAGCTTGTGGAACCAATGTCTTCTTGCCTCCCACCAATAGTAATTTCCAAAGTATAGGACTTATTCATCTCACATTTCTAAGTTAGCAAAACTTCATGCAGCCTTGGTATTGGCAAACAAAATCATTTTCAATGAGATGTAATTGTACTTATTAAACATCAAAAATATAAATTTCGAAGTTCTCACTACCTACTACTGAAACAACTCAAAAAGTTTAGGTATTATTAAACAAAATATAATGCTGCTATTCCAAAAGAGACCCAAGGAATATAAATTGCCATAAGAAGCCTAGCCTCAAGCTACTGATTTTAACAAATAAACCCTTCGATAGCAGTGAATAATGGCAGCTAATTAGGTATTAACTATTTTGACCAGACAGCCCACAAAAATTAAATCAATGGACCTCATTTTCTACCCCAAGCACTCAAGAGTGAAATCAACCTAATCACCATCTAACCTAGAACAAAAGAAATCAATAACTTAAAGATAACTACAGGGATTAGCAGGACTACTACAATAGTTGACGAAGGTTTGAGTCCCAGATCTGGAGGCTTAAAACCCATGCTTGGGGAGTGTGGCATGCCACCCCAGGGGGTGGGGGGTGGGTGGGGTAATGGGGGTGTGTGTGGGGGTGATTTCCCAGTCTCTTTCTCTGGCTAGTACATGCACCTTATAGCAAAAATCTCACTTTAAAAATAAGTAAATTGGTGAGGCCAGCAGGTGTGGTGATTAAGGAAGGGTACTGGACTCCCACATGACTGACCATGGCTCAAGTGCCAGACCTGGCAGCTTCCTTTCTCATCCCCCTCACTTTACGTCTCTGTCCCTCTATGGTCAAATGAAAATAAAGTTAAATAAAATAATTCTTTAATAAACAAAACAAACAAATTGGGACCAGCAGATGGCACAATGGTTACATTGCTGGAGTCCCATGTAGTTGACTGCAAATTCCAGTCCCGGATCTAGTGGCTTAAACTCATGCCAGGCAAATGTGCATATGTGCCCAAAATCCTGAGAGGAGAATGGAGAAGGACTGATTGTGGCATGGCCATCCACCCAAAGGGGTGATTTCTTGCTTTCTGTTTCTCGCTCTGGTGAGTGCACATGCCCTAGAGCAAAAATATCTCATTAATAAATACAAATATAAGCCCTGTAAAGACAAAGAGCAAATTTTTTTTGCGGTTTCTGCCATAGGACACATGTATTCACCAGTGATGGAAAATCAGAAATCACCCTCTAGGGGCATGGCCCACCTACATGCTCTGGGGATTTTGAGCATGCACACAAGTTCTAGGCATGAGCTTCAAGCACCTGGGGCTCAAACTGCAGGTGGTCATGTGGGAATCCAAAGTTTTAACCCCTACACCACCTGCTGGCCCTCAGTTTTGTTTTTGTTTTTTAATTTTTTAAAAAGAATTATTTTGGGGATCAGCAATGGACGTAATGGCTGTCAATGGACTTCCATGTAGTCAACTGCATGCAGTTTGAGTCCCGGACCTGGTGACCATGATCCCAAGAGAAGAAGGGATTGTGGAGGGGCCATCCCCCCATGGGGTGATTTTTTGCTTTCTGTCTGTCTCTTTCTGGTCAGTGCAAGTGTCCTATAGCAAAAACAAACAAACAAACAAACAAACAAACAAAAAACCTCTTAAAAAAATTATTCTTATTGGGACCAGCAGTGGCATGGTGGTTAAGGGTGCTGGACTCTCACATGGACAATCACAGTTCAAATCCTGGACCTGGTGGCCTGCTTTCTTTCTCGCTCTGATCCTCTCTGACCAAAATCAAAAATAAATAATTTTTTAAAAGAGAATTATTATTTTTTTTGGAGAGGTTTTTGCTATAGGGCGCGTGCACTTGCCAGACAGACAAGAGACAGACAGACAGACAGAAAGCGAGAAATCACCCCCTGGGGGGAAGGCCACGCCGCGCCCTTCTCCTCCAGTCTCCTCTCGGGATCCTGGGAACGCATGCACATGCGCCCTGCGTGAGTTTTAAGCCACCAGGTCCGGGACTCGAACCGCGGTCGACTACATGGAGTCCAGCGACACAGCCATTACGCTAACTGCTGGTCCCGAGAATTATTTTTATTTAACGTACTTTACTTACTTACTTATTTTAATTTGACCAGAGAAGGACAGCGCAAGAGAGACAGGGAAAGCCACCAGGTCTGGTTCTTGAACCATGGTCAGCAACGCGTCACCTGCTGGCCCTTTTTGTTTTTAAAGCTGACTGGCTACCTTATATTTGGCAACAAATGAACAAAAATATTACGTTGTAGAAGAGAAACTCAAGATTATTCATGTTTCCAAATCAGGCGGAGAACAAAAAGTACACAAAAAATTCTTACCTGCATGCAATGAATAGCTAAACCAGGTCCTGTATACAATTTCTTATGACATATATGGCATTTGAAATGTTTTGCTTTTTGATGCTGTATAAGGATCTTCTCATCATCAAAATCTCTATTACAATACCTGATCAATATTGTTAAGAAACAAAAACACCAAAGTCATAACACACTGCCTGTAATTAAGAAAACTATCATGAGAATAGGGGAACATAAAAATAGGGAAACAGCTAAAAATCAAAATGGAACTCCACAAAAACGTTGCCTTTTGTATTTAATGCACAATTAAAAATTACACTTGACAAGTAATTCCACTATTTTTAATTTCCTGGAAACGCATCTCTCCTCATCACCCTCAAACATCTCAGTTAACTGGTAATATATTTTTGTCAAATTTCTGTTGGTTAAACCAAAGATGTTAGATGAAATTAATTTTTTATTCAATATTTTAAATGCCCACTGTGAACAATAACAGGCTTAACATTATGGAATCCTTAAGTTTATGTTAAGACAGAATTTCACAGCACAACCAGATTAAGTTTATAGAAAATAAAAATATTTACTAAATTTAGAATTTAAGAACGACTTCATAGTGAGTAATGACACAATTTCGAATAAACAACACAAACTTGTTTCCAATTAGTCACTAAAATTTGTTGCAAAGGAAATGTATATGAACTCATAAAGAAGTGGTCTGTAAAGTTAAGAATTCTTATCCCTACTCAGATTTTCCTAAAAGCAGTTTAGAAAATGCATAGCCATTTTAAAGCTTTCTTTTTTTTAAGCTATTATAAAATAAATGCAGTCCTATACTCGTTTTTGGTACACGACAGCAAACAAAATCTACTCTTAAGTACTCAAAGAATGCCTCATTTTAGTAGGAGTTTTCCTAATAAGATTGGCTTTTTTTTTTTTTTTTGGTCCTAAAGTTGAGTAATGTTAAGAAACTCCACCCTCTAAGAGAACGCTTCCTGAAGATTAAGGCGCCTCCGTGAGACACGGAAGCTAGTTCTCCCCCACCCACGCGTCTTAAAAAAAAAAAAGGTTCAAAACTAGGATTGATTAACACGGCCTTTTACTAAATCACCAATTCTTAAAAAAGAAACAAAAAGTGGGCGACAGACTCCGGGGGCTCTTCCTGAACCCTCCTCGGAGTCAATCAGCGTATTACACTCCAAGAAAAGTCCCTTTGTTGAATCGTCACCAAAACAACGGAGTGTAGCAGAATAGTCCTTGGGGGACATTGTCCTTGGTGGAGGGGTACAGGCCGCCTCCCATCTGGCCACCATTCTCAACAAACAAGAAGATCCTCCTGAGTCACGGAACCCTACGACCCACAAAAGCCAGGGCTTCTAGCCTAGAAAGCCCACTTTCCCCTAAGCTTTCCCCGGCCTGAACCCAGCCACCAAGCCAACCCGTCTAAGGCCCAGATCCCAAACGCTCCCCGCCAAAGGCCAAATACAGGCCTCCCAGTTTCCGTAACCAACAACCCCCACACCCCCCACTCTCGGCCTCACTTCAAACAAAGGATATCAGCACCATGGCTTCAGCTGCTTCTTCTTCTTGCGACCCATAACTGCGCTAGTAAAGCTGAGGAGAAAGGAAGCAAGAGAATCAAGACGAATACACCTCGCTCCCCCGACCTAACAGCCACCACCGCGTCCCACAGGAAACAGACACAAAATGGCCGACGCCCTCGTTCGCGGCTCCGTCTCCCGGCAGGCACTGCGGCGGAAGGCGGGGCCAGGCAGGGGTGGTCACATGACACGGACCTCCGCCCTGAGTGGGTGGAGACTCGCGGTCTCCCAGAGGCAGCTGCCATCTTGTCTAAGCTGACCGCGCCGTTCCTGGCTGCGCTTCCAGGCCCTTCCAGAGTTCTTTTCAAAGCGGCAGGCGACCTAGGTACGATTAGACGCACGGGAATAGAAGCAAAAAACTGAAAAGATCACCGATATAATTAAGGAGCGCTTACGAGTGGAAGATAACTGACAGCGCCCGATTTTTAATTTTGTTTCTATTGTCCGGACGAATGCTTTCTGCAGTTAGCCTCCGTGTTTGCCTACTTCGTACTATATCCAAGGTGTCCGGGCTGGGCCTTGTAGCTCACGTAGTGACCACACCACGCACTGTGGTCAGCGCGGCGATAAGCAAAGTGCGGGGTCAGTGTCGGTGGTGGGGCGGTGGTTAAAAGCGCTGGACTCCCACGTGGTCCACCGCGGTTCGAGGCCTGGACCTGGTGGGTTGCTTTCTCACTTGCCCTCTCTCTCTCTGTCTCGGTCTGGTCAAATGAAAATAGAAAATGCGAGATCTTAGAGAAGGGATACTCCTGACACTCCTTCACCGTCATTTAGGCTGTTAGTAAAGGTTTCCTGAAGGATGAATGGGAGCCAGGAAGGTGAGGGAGGTGTCTCACAAAAGAAGCAAAAAGTGCGAGTCTTTGAGGCTAAGCACCTAATCGAAACGAGTTGAAGTAGGGCTTGAGCTCATAGCGAAGTTGCTAGAGGCGGGAGAAACCGAGGCCTTATGAAGACGCGTTCTGGAGATGCCTGCTAGCGTCCTGAGTCTGAGAAGGCACGGTCGAGTTTACGCCTGTACGATGATGCCAGAGGTGAACGGGCTGGGCTGTTGGTTGGGTTTCCATCCCGCCAGCACCAGCGCCTGGCTGCAGGACTTTGAGCAAGGAAGGCCCTGTTAATCTGACTGGACAGGTTTAGCATGTGGTGATAGCTAGTACTATAAATTATGTGTTACTCTACTTTTAGGTTTGTTTCTAAGGGTTAATGTGTTTAACTTTATTATTATTTTTTTAATTTGACAAAAGAGAGGGAAAGTGAGAAAGTAAACTGTGCGGTCTGAGAGTCAATCCAAGGTCATCTTTGGAGCACTTAATCTCATGCCAGGCATTGTGGTAGTTTTTTGCTGTCTCAAACCTGTCAAGTAGGTGCCATTATCAACCTGTTAATAGTTAATATAGATGAGATAAAAGAGGCTTAAGAGATCTAGAGTAATTTGCCCTAGGTCACAGAATTAGTCAAGATGAAGCTGAATTAGATTGCAGTTTATAAAAATAAGATTGGGAACCAGCAGTTAGCGTTATGGCTATGTCTCTGGACTCCCACGTAGTCAACCACGGTTCGAGTCCCGGACCCGGTGGCTTAAAACTCACGCCTGGCGTGTGTGCGTGCGTGCATGCCCAAGATCCTGAGAGGAGAATGGAGGAGAAGGGATTGCCGCATGACCATCCCCGCTGGGGGGTGATTTCTCGCTTTCTGTCTCTATATCTCTCTCTGTCTGGCGAGCGCACGCGCCCTATAGCAAAAACGTCTCCAAAGAAAAAAAAAAATTTTTTAAATAAAAATAAGATTGAGGGCCCTGCAGGTGGTGTGGTTAAAGGTGATATACTCCCACATGGCCCACAGTGGTTCAAGTCTCAGACCTGGTAGCTTGCTTTCTCTCTCTCTCTCTCTCTCTCTCTCTTACTCTGTTCATCTCTGGTCAAATTAAAAATAAAGTTAAATAAAATAATTTTTTTTTTTAAAAAAGAAAAAAAAGGAAAAGAAGGTCAAATGGCCAGTGGGTGGTGTAGTGGTTGTGGTGCTGGACTCCCACGTGAAAAACTGCAGTTCGAGTCCCAGATCTAGAGGCTTAAAACTCACGCCCGGAGCGTGTGCATATGTGCTCAAAATCCTGAGAGGACATTGGAGAAGGGATTGTGGCATGACCTTCCCGCGGGGGGGGGGGGGGGGGTGATTTCTCACTTTCTGTCTGTCTCCAGTGAGCTCACATGCCCTATAACAAAAATCTTTCTAAAATTAAAAAAAGGAAGTTTGAATAAATAATTTTATTAATTTTTTGAGAAGTTTTTGCTATAGGGCGTGTGTACTTGCCAGAAAGACAGAAAGAGACAGAGACAAAAAGAGAAATCACCCCCGGTGGAGGGGCACAGCCACACCACAATCCTTTCTCTTCCATTCTCCTCTCGGGATCTTGGGCATGCATGCACTAGTGCCCCGTGTGAATTTAAGCCACCAGGTCTGGGACTCAAACTACGATCAACTACATGGGAGTCCCATGACAGCCATTACGCCAACTGCTGATCCCTTTTTAATATTTTAATAAAGAGGGGCTAGCTGGTGGCATGGTGGTTAAGTCACTGTACTCCTACATGGTCTTCTGTGGTTCTAGTCCCAGACCTTTTGGCTTACTTTCTCAATTCTACTTTCTCTATCCATCTCTCTGGTCAAATTTAAAATAATAATAATAATAACAAATGGAATTAAATAAATAATTCTAGAAAGAAAGAAAAAAGAAAAGTCACTTTGGGCCCACCTGATGGCATGGTGGTTGAGATAACTGAATCCCACATAACCAACTGCATGGTTCAAGTCCAGGACCCAGCAGCTTGAAAAACATGTGAGGCATGGGTGCCTGATGGCCACAATTCCCAAATGAGAAATGGAGAAGGTAATCCAGTGGGAACATCTTCCATGAGGGGTGTTTACTTTTTTTTTTCTTTTTTGGGAGTGTTTTTTTGTTTTTGTTTGTTTGTTTGTTTGTTTTTTGCTATAGGGCATGTGCGCTCTCCAGGCAGACAGAGACAGACAGAAAGCAAGAAATCACTCCCCAGGGGGATGGCCATGCTGCAATCCCTTCTCCTCCATTCTCCTCTTGGGATCTTGGGCACGCACGCACACATACCCTGCGTGAGTTTAAGCCACCAGGTCCGAGACTCAAACCTCTGTCGACTACGTGGGAGTCCAGTGACATAGCCATTACGCTAACTGCTGGTCCCCATGAGGGGTGTTTTTGAACTTTCTCTGTTTTCTCTCTGACAAGCACCTATCAGCAATATTTTAGAAAGAAAACAAGAGAAAAGTCACTTTGGCTGCAATGTGGATAGTGGGTTGACAGAGTTTTAGACAGGGACAAGTGACAGTAATCTTGAGAGAAGAAATAGTCTGACATAGGGTAGTGATAGTAGGAAATTAGTCATTTGTCCCCAAATTAAGCAAGATAATTCTTTTTACAAAGTTTAATTTTGCCAGAGGGCACATGCACTAGGGGTGGAAGGGGAGAAAGTGAGAAAGCACCCCCTTTGGGGAATGGTCACAGTGTAATCCCTTCTTTTACATCCCTTCATCCTTTAAGGATTTGGGGCACACATGCGCATGCCAGAGTGTTTCTTTCTCTCTTCTTTTAAAAATTATTTAACTATATTTATTTATTTCCAGTTTGATCAGAGAGAGGAAAGTGAAAAAGCAAGTCACCAGGTTCAGAACTTGAACCGCTGTTGGCCATATGGGAGTCCAGCACCTTTAACCACCACACACCTACAGGCTCCCAAGAGTTTCTTGAATCTCCAGGTCTAGGGCTCACATCACTCAGTCAGCCAAGTGGAGAAGTGGTTAAGCCAGCCACCTTAACCACTGCCATGGGCTGGCCTGCAAAATAATTTTATATAGTACAAAGTGCTTTACCAAAACAAACCAAAAAACAAGGTGATCCAGTGAAAATAATCTCCTGCTTTTTATTTTATATTAATTTTTTAAGGTTTTTGCCATGGGTCTCATGCACTCCCCTAAGAGGAAATAGGCAGTGAGAGAGAAAGTGAGAGGAAAAGTGAGCAATAAAGCCCTCCCCCGGCAGGGGTGGGTCGCTATACCTCAATCCTTTCTCCTTCATGCTCCTCTTGGAATTTTGGGCACACGTGCCCATCATGAATTTCAAGTCACTGGATCCAAACATGGCCACCCATGTGGGAGTCCACATCTTAACTACTATGCCACCTGCTGGCCCTCAAATTTCCTGCTTTTGTGTCCAGCCAGGACAATTAGACAAGAAAAAGAAATAAAGGGATTGGCCCAACAGGTGGTGTGGTTAAGGCACTGAGTTCCCACATAGCTGACTGTAATTCTACTCCCACATGTGGTGGCTTGAAATCACAACAAATAAATAGATAAATAAATGCTTCAAAAAATAAATAAAAGGGGGCCAGCAGGTGGTGTGGTGGATAAGGGCGCTGGATTCCCACATGGCCAACCATGGTTCAAGTCCCAGACCTGGTGGCTTTTTCTCATTTCTCTCTCTCTCTCTCTCTCTCTCTCATCAAATTAAAAAAAAAAAACTAACAATAACAAATGGAAAAAAAAATAAATATTTTTAAATAAATAAATAAAAGGATTCTAGGTTAAAAAGGAACAAGTAAAACCATCTCTAGTCACAGATGATTGATGATGTTACAGGTTGGATTGTGACCCCTCCCCCCCAAAAATTCATAAGTTCAAACCCTGGTTCCCTAGTAACCTCAGAATGTGACTTCGTTTGGAGATAGCTTCTTATCAGAGGTAATCAAGCTAACGTGAGGTCATTAGAGTAGTCCTAATCTAATATGCTCAAATATGATTGGCATCCTTATTTATATAGTTTTTTTTTTTCTCACTTCCCCTCTCTCTCTCTCTCACTCTGTCCCTCTCTGGTCAAATTAAAAAATAAAGTTAAATCTTTTAAAAACTTTTGTGATTAATAAAGGTTTTTTTAAGGAATTATTTTATTTTTATTATTTTATTTTTTTTACATTGACCATAGTGAGACAGAGAGAGAGGAAAAGTGAGAAAGCAAGCTGCCAGGTCCAGGACTTGAACTGCAGTCAAGGAGAGTTCAGCTGCCTTAACCACCACGCCACCCACTGGCCCCTCAATAAAGTTCTATGTCTTTAAAAATTACCTAGTCTTAGGTATTTCTTTTTTTTTTTTTAAGTATTATTTTATTTAACTTTATTTATTTATTTTTAATTTTACCCGAGGACAGAGCGAAGGAGAGAGAAAGTAAGAAAGCAAGCCACCATGTCCAGGACTCAAACATGAGTCTGCCATGTGAGAGTCCAGCGCCCTTAACCACCACACCACTTGCCAGCCCCTGCAGTCTTAGATAATTTCTGTTAGCACTGTAGTAATGGACAATTCACAATACAAGATAGAAATACAGAATACATTATATTTCTATACGTTAACAATGAAAGTCATGGAGGAACTTAAATGTATATTCCCAAGTGAAAAAAGCCCATCTATACAGACTATATTATGCTTCCAATTATATGACACCCCAAAAAAACAACACTATAAAGACAGTAAAATGATCAGTAGTTGTCAGGGATCAAGGATAGAATGATGAATGAATAGGTGAAGCATGGTTTAGTTTTGTTTTTTATTTATTTTAAGGATTATTTATTTTATTTATTATTATTCTTCTTCATTTGGCTATAGGGCACTTATGCTCACCGAAGAGAGACAGAGAAGAGAGATAATGAGAAAACAAGCCACCAGGTCCTGGCTTTGAACTACATATGGCAGTCCAGCACCATAACCACCATACCACCTGCCATCCCATTTTGGTTTCCTTTTTATTTTTTTTAGGTTTTTGCCATCAGATGTATGTGCTCACCAGAGAGAGAGAGAAAAAATGAGATGTCACCCCCCGCTCCAGGGGAGATGGCCACACCACACTATCTTCTCCATTCTTCTCTCAGGACTTTGGGTGTTCGTGCAGATGCAAGCCAGTGTTATTCTCAAGCTACCAGATCCAGAACTACCGTGGTTGGCCATGTGAGAATCTAGCACCTTCACCACCATGCTGCCTGCTGGTCTACATAGGGAATTATTAAGATGGTGAAAGTATTTTGTATCATTTTATAACGGTGCATATGGGACTTTATACATTTTGTCAAAATTCATAGAACTATCGCACAAAGAGTGAACTTTATGCACATTTAAAAATATAGTCTCTTTCTGTTTCTAGCATAACCATGGCTCGTGGCCCTAAGAAGCATCTGAAGCGGGTAGCAGCTCCAAAGCATTGGATGCTGGATAAACTGACCGGTGTGTTTGCTCCTCGTCCATCCACTGGTCCCCACAAGCTGAGGGAATGTCTTCCTCTCATCATTTTCCTAAGGAACAGACTTAAGTATGCTTTAACAGGAGATGAGGTAAAGAAGATCTGCATGCAGTGGTTCATTAAGATCGATGGCAAAGTCCGTACTGACATAACCTACCCTGCTGGTTTCATGGATGTCATCAGCATTGACAAGACTGGAGAGAATTTCCGTCTGATCTATGACACCAAGGGTCGCTTTGCTGTCCATCGTATTACACCTGAGGAGGCCAAGTACAAGTTGTGCAAAGTGAGGAAAATCTTTGTGGGCACAAAAGGAATCCCTCATCTGGTGACCCATGATGCTCGTACCATCCGCTACCCGGATCCTCTCATCAAGGTGAACGACACCATTCAGATTGATTTGAAGACGGGCAAGATTACTGATTTTATCAAGTTCGATACTGGTAACCTGTGTATGGTGACTGGAGGTGCTAACTTGGGAAGAATTGGTGTGATCACCAACAGAGAGAGGCATCCTGGCTCCTTTGAAGAGAGAGACAAGAGACTGGCAGCCAAACAGAGCAGTGGGTGAAATGGTCTCTAGATTTTATGTTGGAAAGGTCTTCATACTTAATTAAAGATGATATTGCATAAAAAAAAATCTCAGTCATTTATTTGGGTGATCACAGATTTCAGGCAGAAATACAGATGATCACAAGAGAATCTAATTGTATTACAAATGTGTGAAACAACCTTAATGAAGGGGCTGGGAAAAGTGCTGACCTAAATAACTTTGAATGAATGGAGTCTGTAGACTAAAGGCAAAGAGAACCTCAAATAACACTACACTCTATTTGATAATGTTATATTGATGGGTTATGGGCTAACAGTTCTTACACTGTTATATGGGTATACTGGAAGTGAACAATTAAGTTAATGGATGTGAACCTAGTTCCAACCGGAGCTAGGTTTCTCATTGTTCTAACAGGAATTTACAGATAAGCAGAAAGGAAGCTGTGGAATGATCCACTTGCCAGTGGATTCAAGTTAGCGAGTGTAAATTTGTGTTTATTCTAAAATAAATAGAGTTACATACAGAGATATTTATAGAGGAGCAGGTATAGATGCAATGATTCCCCAGTTGCAATGAGCATACCTAGCATCCAGACATTTTACAAAATTCATTATAAAGCATGCTTATGCACATGGGTGAAAGAAAGAGAAAAACCTTCCATAGGGTCTGGCCATGCTTTGATTCCTTTCTTTCAGTCTTCCAGTCCATCGGATCTTGGGCACTTGCACACAAGCCCAGCATGTTTCAGGCTGACCAGGCTAGGGATTCAAACTGCAGTCACCATGTGTGATCTGGTTTCTCTGAGCAATGTTACCGATGCACCAGCAGCTCTAGCACCCAAATCTTGATTTGTAATATCATTCTCTAATAAAAGTGACCTGGGCCCCTAAGAGAAATGTCTGAATCTAGGACTGGGGCAGAGACATACAAAATAAAGCCTGAAGAATGTTGTAGTGTCAGAAAGTGAGGAAGTGTTAAAAAACAAACAAACAAAAAAAAACCTACATTGATGAGGATATATTAAAGGGAAACAGGAGGGGTCACAGGTCACATGGTGATTAGGGAGTTGGATATCCACAGGGCCAACAGGTTTCAGTCCCAGACCTGGTGGTTTACTTTCTCACTCTCCCTCTTTCTTTTTCTCTGTGTGTTATCTCTCTGGTCAAATTGAAGAAGAACAAAAAGAAAAAATAATTTAAAAACAAAAGGACACAGGATGGGAACCAGCAGTTAGCGTAATGGCTATGTCGCTGGACTCCCACGTAGTTGAACGCGGTTTGTGTCCCGGACCCGGTGGCTTAAAAAAACTCACGCCGGGCGCGTGTGCGTGCGTGCCCAAGATCCTGAGAGGAGAATGGAGGAGAAGGGATTGCGGCGTGACCATCCCCCCTGGGGGGTGATTTCTCGCTTTCTGTCTCTATGTCTCTCTCTGGCTGGCTGGCCAGCGCACGCGCCCTACAGTGAAAATCTCTCCAAAAAAAAGGACACAGGAGACAACTGAAATAGCTCTTAATGGCAAAATCTGGAAAAATTTGAGCAATAAAATAAGTATATTGTAATCCTATATAAACTGGTATAATGCAGTATAAGCACTATAGCGCTAATAAAAACAACTTTTCCAGAGATGGGCAGAGAGAAAGAAAAACAGACACAGAGAGAGAGAGGGAAAGTGAGAAATCACTCCCCCAGGGGGATGGCCATGGTGCAATCCCTTCATTCTCTTTCTGGGATTTTGGGTATGCGCACGCATGCGCCTGGCATGATTTCTTTTCCTTTTTTTTTTTTTTTTTTGGAGGGGTTTTTGCTATAGGGCACATGCACTCACCAGACAGACGGAAAGTGAGAAATTACCCCCTAGGGGGAAGGCCACGCCACAATCCCTTCTCCATTCTCCTCTCGGGATCTTGGGCACGCACGCACACGCGCCCAGCGTGAGTTTTAAGCCATCGGGTCCGGGACACGAACCGCAGTCGACCACATGGGAGTCCAGCGACATAGCCATTACGCTAACTGCTGGTCCCGACCTGGCATGATTTTCAAGCCACCAAGTCTGGGACTTTGACCGCAGTCGACCATATGAGAATCCAGCATCTTAAACACCATACCTCCTGGCACCTTAAAACATTTTTTTTAAACATGTCTTGCTTGGGAACCAGCAGTTAGCGTAATGGCTATGGCGCTGGACTCCCATGTGGTCGACTGCGGTTCGTGTCCCGGACCCGATGGCTTAAAACTCACGCTGGGCGCGTGTGCGTGCGTGCCCAAGATCCCAAGAGGAGAATGGAGGAGAAGGGATTGCGGCGTGACCATCCTGGGGGGTGATTTCTCACCTTTTGTCTCTCTGTCTCTGTCTGTCTGGCGAGCGCACACGCCCTATAGCAAAAACCTCTCAAAAAAAAAACAAAAAAACAAAGACATGTCTTGCTATGGTACTATTCTGCCTCCTGTTATGGCACTTTCCTCCTGATACAGGCATATAGTCCTATGGTCAGCTTTGGAGTTGACCAGAGATCAAACCCAGGCCTCACATGTGGCCTTAACTTGCTATGTAACTATTGATCAGCATGCATTACCACAGCCTATGTTGTTTTTAAACGCTTATTTATTTATCTATTAATTTGTTGTGATTTTCAAGCCATCAGGTCTGAGATTCAAACTACAGCCAGCCATGTGGGAATCCAGCACTTGAACTACCATGCCACCCACTGGCTCGCCACAGCCCATTTTAAATTTTATTTATTTATTTATTTTTTCCATAAAAGAGACAGCACCCCAACTGGGTACTGACACTGTGATCTACTCCCAGCTTCAGCCAGGCCAGTTCATGGGCACACGTGTCTGGCATACTAAGGAAGGTTTCCAGACTCGAACCTACAACCTTCCTATGAGGACTGGCTCACTGAGCATTGTGCTTTACTGCTGCACCACCATCCAGCCCTAGTGTGTGTGTAACTTTTAATTTAAGAGCCTGCTTGTAGTGCACTGAATGGTGACTCCCAGAAGATGCATCCATATCCTAATCTCCAGAACCTGTCAATATTACTTTATATGGCATAGAGGGAATAAAACCTTATATGACAAAGATCTGTTTTTTTAATTGCCAGAGTACTTTTTTTTTTCCCTATATGGTGCATACGCTTCAGAGAAACACAAAAGAAGGGAAAATGAGAAATCACCTTTCAAAGAGGGGTGGTGACGCCACAGTCCCTTCTCCATTCTCCTCCTGAGATTTTAGGCAGGCACACGCGCCTGGTATGATTTTCGAGCCTCTGGGTCCAGGACTTAAGCCACCATTGGCCATGTGAGAATACAGTGCCTTAGCTATTATGCCACCTGCTACCTCCTGTTTTTAGTTTTTTTTTGCCATAAGGCATGTGTATCCATCAGAGAGAGAGAGAGAGAAAGAGAGAGAGGGAAAGTGAGAAATTATCCCTAGAGGGGATGGCCATGCTACAATCCCTTCTTCTCCAGTCTCCTCTCAGGATTTTGGGCATGCACACACACATGCCCGGTGTGATTTTCAAGCCACTGGGTCCAGGACTCATGGGAGTCCAGCACCTTAACCACCGAGCCACCTGCTGCCCCTTATCAGAGTACTTCAGGATAGGCCTTGAAGATTCACAGATGGTCAAGAAATGGTCTGTACACTGTTGCTTCATAGCTCCTCAGCTTGCTATTCTTTGCCTTCTAAAACCTGGTATGAAGCTATTTCCCCATTTTTTTCTATACACTATTTCTAGAGGAGAATGGAGGAGAAGGGATTGCGGCGTGACCATCCTGGGGGGTGATTTCTCACCTTTTGTCTCTCTGTCTCTGTCTGTCTGGCGAGCGCACACGCCCTATAGCAAAAACCTCTCAAAAAAAAAACAAAAAAACAAAGACATGTCTTGCTATGGTACTATTCTGCCTCCTGTTATGGCACTTTCCTCCTGATACAGGCATATAGTCCTATGGTCAGCTTTGGAGTTGACCAGAGATCAAACCCAGGCCTCACATGTGGCCTTAACTTGCTATGTAACTATTGATCAGCATGCATTACCACAGCCTATGTTGTTTTTAAACGCTTATTTATTTATCTATTAATTTGTTGTGATTTTCAAGCCATCAGGTCTGAGATTCAAACTACAGCCAGCCATGTGGGAATCCAGCACTTGAACTACCATGCCACCCACTGGCTCGCCACAGCCCATTTTAAATTTTATTTATTTATTTATTTTTTCCATAAAAGAGACAGCACCCCAACTGGGTACTGACACTGTGATCTACTCCCAGCTTCAGCCAGGCCAGTTCATGGGCACACGTGTCTGGCATACTAAGGAAGGTTTCCAGACTCGAACCTACAACCTTCCTATGAGGACTGGCTCACTGAGCATTGTGCTTTACTGCTGCACCACCATCCAGCCCTAGTGTGTGTGTAACTTTTAATTTAAGAGCCTGCTTGTAGTGCACTGAATGGTGACTCCCAGAAGATGCATCCATATCCTAATCTCCAGAACCTGTCAATATTACTTTATATGGCATAGAGGGAATAAAACCTTATATGACAAAGATCTGTTTTTTTAATTGCCAGAGTACTTTTTTTTTTCCCTATATGGTGCATACGCTTCAGAGAAACACAAAAGAAGGGAAAATGAGAAATCACCTTTCAAAGAGGGGTGGTGACGCCACAGTCCCTTCTCCATTCTCCTCCTGAGATTTTAGGCAGGCACACGCGCCTGGTATGATTTTCGAGCCTCTGGGTCCAGGACTTAAGCCACCATTGGCCATGTGAGAATACAGTGCCTTAGCTATTATGCCACCTGCTACCTCCTGTTTTTAGTTTTTTTTTGCCATAAGGCATGTGTATCCATCAGAGAGAGAGAGAGAGAAAGAGAGAGAGGGAAAGTGAGAAATTATCCCTAGAGGGGATGGCCATGCTACAATCCCTTCTTCTCCAGTCTCCTCTCAGGATTTTGGGCATGCACACACACATGCCCGGTGTGATTTTCAAGCCACTGGGTCCAGGACTCATGGGAGTC